CTTTGTTAAGGGAAGCAAAGAGGGGAGTGTATGAAAGTATAATTATACCAACATTTTTATATGGGTGTGAAACATGGGTGGTGAATGTTGTAACAAGGAGAAGGCTGGAGGCAGTGGAGATGTCATGTTTGAGGGCAGTGTGTGGTGTGAATATAATTCAGAGAATTCGTAGTTTGGAAATTAAGAGGAGGTGCGGGATTACCAAAACTATTATCCAGAGAGCTGAGGAGGGGTTGTTGAGGTGGTTCAGACATGTAGAGAGGATAGAGCAAAACAGAATGACTTCAAGTGTATAAATCTGTAGTGGAGGGAAGGCGGGGTTGGGGTCGATCTAGGAAAGGTTGGAGGAAGGGGGTAAAGGAGGTTTTGTGTGCGTGGGGCTTTGACTTTCAGCAAACATGCATGAGTGTGTTAGATAGGAATGAATGAAGACAAATGGTTTTTAGGATTTGATATGCTGTTGGAGTGTGAGCAAGGTGTAACATTTATAAAGGGATTCGGAAACCAGCAGGCCAGATTTGAGTCCTGGAGAGGGGAAGTACAGCGTCTGACTATGAAGGAAGGGTGTTAATGTTGCAGTTTTATAACTGTAGTGTAGGCATGCCTCTGGAAAGAGTGATGGAGTGAACAATGAAAATTTTTCTTTTTCCGGCCACCCTGCCTTGGTAGGAGGAGGCCAATGTGTTATTAAGTAGGCTAGAGTAACAAGAAATATAGTCAGGAACATTTTAACATGTAGGATTTCAGGATTTGTGTTTGCTTCAGGTGCCTAACCTTGAATTGTAAAGTCAAACTATATAATCAACATTCACATAATGAGTTGCTATAAATGAAGTACCTTGTGGGATTGGTACTTAGTTTTAATAATGTAAATGAATTACTGATAAATGTCAAAGATTTCCAAATATTTCACAAGTTAAAGGATATTTTAGTGTTTCCAGGGTCTCCTCAGGACATGACTACCCTGTTCAAATGAGACACTTATCACTGTCCATGTACCAAAGTGAACCAGGTATGGTAGGGTTATTATTGAAGGAATTAGAGGTAAGAGAGAGAGAGCAGGATTGAAGATGAACAAAGAGGCTTTAGAATGGGTATGGGATGTGTAGATCAAGTGTTTACATTGAAGCATGTATGTGAACAGTATTTAGATAAAGGTAGGGAAGTTTTCATTGCATTTATATATTTAGAAAAGGCATAGAGTGGATAGGGGAGCAGTGTGGCAGGTGTTGCAAGCGTATGGAATAGGTAGTAATTTACCAAATGCTGTAGTTTTTTTTTTATGAGGATAGCGATAGTGGGAAAGTGGAACAGAATTCTTCCTCCATAAGCCATGCGTGTTGTAAGAGGTGGCTAAAATGCTGGAGCAAGGGGTTGGTAACCCCTTCTCCTGTATACATTACTAAAGTTAAAAAGAGAAACTTCTGTTTTTCTTTTTGGGCCACCCTGCTTCGGTGGGATATGGCCGGTGCAGTGAAAGAAAAGAAGAAGTGAGGCTCAGGTTAGGGTGTATAGGAGAGAGGGAGATAACTTCCCAGTAAAAGTAGGTCTTAGACAGCAATGTGTAATGTCAACATGGTTGTTAAACATATTTATAAATGGGGTTGTAAAAGAAGTAAATACTAGGGTGTTGGGGAGAGGGATGGGATTAAATTATGGGGAATCAGATACAAAATGGGAAATGACAGTTACTGTTTGCTGATGATACTGTGCTTATGGGAGATTCTAAAGAAAAGTTGCGAAGGTTTATGGATGATTTTGGGAGGGTGTGTAAAGGTAGAAAGTTGAAAGTGAACATAGATAAAAATAAGGTGATGAGGGTATCAAATGATTTAGATAAAGAAAAATTGGATGTCACATTGGTAGGAGTATGGAAGAAGTGAATGTTTTCAGATATTTGGGAGTTGACTTGTCAGCAGATGGGCTTATGAAAGATGAGGTTAACTATAGAATTGATGAAGGAGAAAAGGTGAGTGGTGTGTTGAGGTATCTGTGGAGACAAAAATAAAAAAAAGTTATCCATGGAGGCAGAGAAGGGAATGTATGAAAGTATAGTGGTACCAACACTCTTATATGGGTGTGAAGCATTGGTTGTAAATGCTGCAGCGGGGAGGCAGCTGGAGGCAGTGGAGATGTTGTGTCTAAGGGCAATGTGTGGTATAAATATGCAGAGAATTCATAGTGTGGAATTTAGGAGGAAGTGTGGAGTTACTAAAAGTATTAGAGGGCTGAAGATGGGCTCTTGAGATGGTTTGGTCATTTAGAGGGAATGAAACAAAGTAGAATGACTTGGAGAGTGTATAAACCTCTAGGGAAGGAATTAGGGGTAGGGATCATCCTCAAAGAGGTTGGAGGGATGGAGTAAAGGAGGTTTTGTGGGCAAGGAGCTTGGACTTCCAGTGAGGAGTGAATGGAGTGAATCGTTTTTGGGACCTGACAAGCTGTTGGAGTGTGAGCAGGGTAATATTTTGTGAAAGGATTCAGGGAAACCGGTTAGCCAGACTTGAGTTCAGGAAATGGGAAGTACAGTGGTCCCTCAATAATCGTCCATAATCCGTTCCTGGAAGTGGGACTATTATGAAATGGACGATTTTCGAATCAATTTTCCCCATAAGAAATAATGTAAATCCAATTAATTCGTTCCAGACACCCAGAAGTATCAACAACAATTTTTTTTTTTTTTACCTAAAAGATAGATTTACATGCACAAAAGAATGAACATTCAACATGACAGTTACCTTTATTGGCTGTTGTTGATGAATGGAAGACAGGGAGGAGGAGAGAGGGAAGAGAGGTTATTTGGGAGGGGAATCCCCTCCATAAGGACTCTAGGGTACTAATAAAATGTATAAATGAACATTGGTAATAGGGGTAGTTGATGAATTAGACACATGTGCAACTCTTGGGTATCTTTATTAAGGAAACGTTTTGCCACACAGTTGCTTCATCAGTCCATACACAGGAGAAACTTGAAGAACAAGAGGAGAATGAGGTAATCAGTCCCTCAACCTTGAGTCGATGTGGTCAATCCATCAATCTATTCAAGATGAAAATAAATGGTATAAAATACCGACACAATGGAAACATAACACATATGCAGTTTAATGTGATCCTTTACTGACAACGTTTCGCCCACACAGTGGGCTTTTTCAAGTCACAAACAGATCTGTGTTTGCTTCCAATCTATTCAAGATTGATGGACTGATTACCTCATTCTCCTCTTGTTCTTCAAGTTTCTCCTGTGTATGGACTGATGAAGCCACTGTGTGGCGAAGCGTTTCCTTAATAAAGATACCCAAGAGTTGCATATGTGTCTAATTCATCAACGTGTCGGTTCTGTGAACCATTCATCTACAATAAGGGTAGTTGAGTGGAACGGTCTGCCTAATAGGGTGATTGAAGCTAAAACATTGGGTAGTTTCAAATTTAGGTTGGATAAATACACGAGTGAGAGGGGTTGGATTTGAGTCGGACTTGCACTGAGCTTATTGCTTGGGTAGCATTTGTTCTGTTAGTGGGTTGGATTTGTGAAGGACTAGCCTAGTATGGGCCAGCAGGCCTGTTCCAGTGTTCCTACTTTCTTAAGTACTTATTTAACATCACACTTACCAGTAGGGTGATCGAGGCTAGGACCTTGGGTAGCTTTAAGAAGAGATTGAACAAATATATGAGTTGGAGGAGCTGAGTTTGATTTGTGTCATTGGGTACGGGAGTAAATTCTTGGGTAGCTTTGGATAGAGGTCATTTTGATAAGGACCTGCCTTGTATGGGCCAGTAGACCTGCAGTGTTCTTATGGCTATTTGTTTGTGTGAGGGAGGGATGGCAAGTTTATTGTTGGAGAATATGACACTAACATCAACTATGGATTATTTATCTATCACAATTCAACTAATATGACATAATAACAATATTAATAACATAGAAACATGGAATATACTCTAGAATGAATAAAATAAGTCATTACGTATGTCACGAGAGGTGTTGTGTTGTGTTGTTGTTGGGTATATAAGAGCTGAGGCGGCGGTGTTTTTTGTAGCCCTATATAACTCCAACAACATTGGAGGAGTTGGTAGAATCACTGAATCACTAAAGAAGGAACCCTCTACCACCATCACTATGACCTTCTACCACTATTACAGCTGTTACCACCATCACTATCCACTCATTTGGGACTTGCAAATGAGTGGATAGAGTTATCAGAGCTTATTTCTTGGGTAGCATTGAGGACTGGGTTGGGAAAATGTTTCGTTAGTGAGATGAATTGTAAAGGACCTGCCGAGCATGGGCCAACAGGCCTGCTGCAGTGGTCCTCCTTTCTTATGTTCATCAACCACTATCACAACTGCTTCTACTCTACTCCACCATCTTTGTATTTTTCTACAAACTTTTTCATAAATTATGTGTTTCTCACCTTCTTTACCAAAGGGCTGGCACTAGAAGCTTTCTTTGGAACCATGGTAGCTTATTTAGCACTTGCAAGCACTAAAATCAATGGAATATTATGAAATATTTCGTAGGAGCATGTGAGGGGACCGTCACTCACTGGCTGGGAAGGCAGGCCCAGGCGGCTCAGAGCGTGAGTACCCGTCCCGGACGAAGGACAATTAGAGAGTTAACGGACCATTTGCAAGCCAATATTTAGATGAAAAAACAGGACTATTTCTGAAATGGACGATTTTCAGGCCGGACGATTATTGAGGGACCACTGTACAGTGCCTGCAGTTTGAAGGAGTTTGGGATATTGGCAGTTTGGAGGGACATCTGAAATGTCATATCTTGGTGACTCTGCAAAGACAGTGATTATGTATGAGTGATGGTGAAAGTGTTGAATAAGGCAAGTTTTTTCTTTCTTTTTGGGGCATCTTTCCTTGGTGGGAAATGGCCGACATGTTAAAAAAGAAAAAAAAATCGTTCTGAGCTTGTTTAAGTGCAACCAGGTATGTAGTTAATTTTTAAGGTATGTTTAATAACATGCATATCCATATTTTTTTTTTTTTAGATGGGTCTAGGGTCCAGCTACTACATTGAACGAATGACCCGAAACACTGACGCAACACCTCCAGGAAAACCAACATTCGTCTGGCAGCACATCAGCATGAAAACAGGAGCACCGGCCATCAAAATCACCTGGATTCCCAACACTGAGACCAACCCCGGATCACACTTCTTTGTCAAATACAAGCAAGTAGCTTCTGTACAAATGTGCTGTTGAAGCTAGAGAATATTTGTTTAAATTTTTATAGTGGGCCAGAAGAAGATAAATTATGTAACATCACAGTCACTAGTGAAATGGTTTTGAAGCAGATAGACCGACTGAAGCAAAATAAGTCACCGGGTCCTGATGAGGTTTTTTCAAGGGTTCTAAAGGAATGCAAAATGGAAGTCTGTGAACCATTAACTAATATTTTTAATTTATCTCTTCAAACAGGTGTAGTGTCTGATATGTGGAAGATGGCTAATGTAATTCCTATTTTTAAAACAGGGGACAAGTCGTTACCGTCAAATTACCGCCAATACCCATTAAGCCTGACCTCAATTGTAGGGTAAATACTAGAGTCAGTTTATAGCTCAAATTATTAGAAGCCATCTCGAATATGCATAGCTTGATTCATGATATCAGCATGGATTCACAAGAGGCCGGTTTGTTTAACTTAATTTATTAACTTGCTTCAGGTTAAAGCTTTTGAGGCTGTTGACCACGATAAAGAAATTGATATTTATTTACTTAGATTTTTAGTAAGGCATTTGATAGAGTTCTGCACCAAAGATGTTGAAGAAAAAGTAGCAGCTCATGGCATTGGGGGAAGTGGAGCTTCTCGTGGATCGAATCATGGTCACAGGACAGGGCAGATAGTTCATAAATGGGGTTTAAATCCGTGAGTGGGGATCAGTACAAGTGGCGTTCCAAAGGATCATGTCTTGGGCCGTGTTGTTTATTAATATATATCAATGATCTTGATGAAGGAATTACTAGTGATAAGAGCAAAATTCGCTGATGACACTGAAGATAGGTAGGGATAATTGATTCAAACGTATATGTTAGGGAACTTCCAGGAGGATTTAGACAAACTCTACTCTTTTCGGTCTGAAAATGGCAGATTGCAGTTCAATGTAGCATTAAATGCTACGGTTCTGAAACTCGGGAGTGTCATAACCCTAGCACTTATAAAGTTAAATAATGTGAACTTAGCCATACAGATTGCGAAAAGGATTGGGGGTTATGGTTAAGCAGCAAACCTTAAACCAAGACAGCAATGCCTAAGCGGACGTAAAAGGCAAATAGATTACTGGGATTTATATCAAGAAGTGTAGCAACCGAAGTCCAGAGGTCATACTGCCAGCTTTACTTTACATCATTTAGTAAGGCCTCACTAGATTATGCAGCTCAATTCCTGGTCTCCATATTACAAGAAATGGACATAAATTCGTTAGAAAACATTCAACGTAGGATGACTAAATTAATAATGCATTAGAAATTTCCTTATGAAGAAAGTATTGAAGATCTTAAGTTACATTCACTGTTAGACGAAGAATAAGAATGAGGGGGGGAGAAACCTGATCGAAGTGTATAAGTGGAAGATAGGTAGTAATAAAGGGGATATTAACAAGGTTCTTGAGGAGATAATCTCTCCCAAGAGAGAACCCGCAGTAATGGATTTGAATTAGATAAGTTTTTGATTTAGAAAGGTACTAGGAAAGTATTGTTTGGAAATAGGGTAGTTGTGAGTGGAGAACAGTCTACCTGTAGTTGGGGTTATTGAGGCTAGGGACTTTGGGTAGTTTCAATTTAGGTTGAATAAGTCCATGAGTGGGAGGGGTTGGCATTTTGAGTGGGGACTTGACACCTCGGAGCTTGTTTCTTGGGTGGCATTGAAAATTGGGTTGGTCAAATGTTTGTTAATGGGATGAATTGTAAAGGACCTGCCTAGTATGGGCCAACAGGCCTGCTGCAGTGTTCCTCCTTTCTTATGTTCTTATGTTCTTAAATTATTAACAGGTCAACCCAGTGTGTTAGTAATTTCTTAGACCTATTGAATTTGCAGGTTGGGGCATTACAGGCTGCAGTGGCACAGCCAGTATTTCAGTCTGAAGGGATTGTATTAATGTTGGTAGAACTACCGACAATTTGTTAAGTAAAAGAAAACTTAAGTGCAACTAATGCTACATTTTATTGTGGCATTAGTTAAACTCGGGTCCTTTTACTTAAAAATCATATTTTCAGGCTGAGGTAAACCACATATAATTGAAATAGTGGAAACTGAATTTGTGGATGTGGGGTTCTGCTTTATATATTATATATGGACTTAAGTCCTCAAGGTGAGAAGTACAATGCTTGCACTCTAAAGGAGGGGTTTGGGATATTTGCCATTTAGAGTGACATCTAAACTGTCATATCTGCACGCACCTGGCATGATAGTGTGAATGACGGTGAAAGTTTATTTTTTTCGGGTCACCCTGCCTCAGTGGGAGATGGCCAGTGTATCTTAAAAAAAAAAATGTAATATTAATAAGATTAATTGTGGCTATGTTTCATTGCAGGTTGGAAGGGGAAAGCATGTACCAGGAGACCAAGCCTGAATTATACCAAGATTTTATTGTACTAAAAGGTTTGGAGGCTGAAAAAACGTACCAGATGTCAGTGGTAGCTGTAGATGGAATCTATAACAGTGAATCTGATGTAGAGGAGATTGACACCCATCTGTCTGGTGTTGTAAGTATTCTTCTGAAAGCCATGCATATCGTATTATTAGTATTATAACTAAAACCAAGCCCTAAACCCACAGGGGTCATGTGTGTGTATCATAAAAGGTGACTAAAATGCTGGGAGCAAGGGACTAATAACCCCTTCAGGGTCCAAGGCCAAAATCTGAAGTGGTGCTCCAGTGTCCAAGAAATTTTGAAATTTTTTTTTTTTATTTTTTCTTACAGAATTAAAGAGTATATTTTGGTGAAGGTAATAAGACAAAAATTTCTGATCAGTACTTACCGAGATAAAGCGGTGGGAGTTGGGACCCAAAATGACGGGGCGTGGCGGCAACATCAGTGACTTCCGCAAAATCCCATTTTTTTATTTTACGTTTTTTATACTTTTTTCTTTTCTATTTTTTTCTTTTTCAAATAACATTTGTGGCCTGTGAGACAAGTAATAATGTATATTGTATTGTGTACAACTCATGTATTACCAATAACTGCACTAATTTCATCATTATATTGCTTACAAACTTGTTTACAAGTTTTGTAAAACAAAAATAATGAAAAATATTAGTGCGGTTATTGTGTTGAATACAAAGGTGCCATATGGTAACAATGGTGCCATAGGGTGCAATTGTACCATAATGGTACAATAGCACCATATGATACAAGGTACCATATGGCACCAATGGCACAGATACAGGTACAATGGTTACATATGATACAATGGCACCATATTGGTACAGTGTTTACCATATGACAATGGTACCATATGGATGCAATAGTACCTTACAGGTCCATATGGTGTAATGGTACATATGGTACATTTGTACCATACAGTACAATGAGACATTATCGTTCATTTGTACCATATGGTACTGTTGTATTCAACACATAAACACTAATATTTTCAATATTATTTTGTTAAAGTACAACAAAAATATGCATAAAGTTGTATATTAGTAATGTTCTATTATTATTTACAAGTGTACAGGAACCTGACGTTTCCTTGAGGTGGATGACAAAGCACTTTGTCTCGGGAAAACTGGGAGTCATTTGCTGCTTGTGCGCGATCACTCGTTTGGCTGGGGTTTCATGCCACCAAACCTATTGACCCTATGGTAAACCCCGGGATCATATGTTACGGGTCCATATGGTACATTGTACTATATGGTTTAGTGTCCATGGGTGCAGGGTACCATATAGGACAGGGTACCATATGGTACGGGTACCATATGGTGCGGGTCCCTCAGTACAGGACCCATATGGTACGATACAGGGATAAATATTGAAAAAAGTCGCCCTGACTTTTTTTGGGTTATCCTAAAATTTTTAGTTGCTGCTATGTTGTAACTATGTATTGTATTTCTGTCCCTGAATAAACTTACTGAATGCATGTGGAATCATAAGTAAGTTTTTTTTAGTTATCACAATATAAAGTTACATAGATATTTTCATACTTAGCAGAATATGTTTTGGAGAACCTAGGATAACCCAAAATGTCAGACAGTTTCTTTCATTAGGGTTCCCTGTACCCTGTACCATATGGTATTAATGTACCAATATGGTATAATGTACCATATGGTATAATGTACATATGGTACAATGTACTATATTGGTACTTGTACCATATGGTACCATTGTACCAAATGATACCATTATACCATATACCATTGTATGACATGGCACCATTGTACCATATGGCACAATGGTACCATATGGCTCAAAACCATAGAATTCGTCTTCAGCTCCACTTCCTTCAGTCTTAGAACTGTAAGTTGTGAAGAGGAGAGTTAGAATTTGCCCGGAGAGTGAGTGGGGAGTGAGAGCTTCCTTGCTGCCAGACACTATGAACAAAGCTACTTTGCCGGCGTTCCCACAATGCCATGCGGGTGTCCAGATTTTTTCTATGGTGTGCATACTGACCACCCAGACCCATTCTCTCAGATGTAGGCCCACCAACCTTCTCGTGCTAAATTTGGCACCGCTAGAATTTTGGCGTAGATCTACGGTTTGGACCCTGAACGTAAAGCCGTAGATCTACAGGACGGACCCTGAAAGGGTTAATTACTACATGTAAAATGATAAACTTTTGTCTTTCTCTTTTTGGGTCACCCTGCCTCGCTGGGAGACAACCTGGCACTGGGTGACGATGTGTATCAACTTAGCATGCCAGGCACTGTAAGCACCCATTGCCCATCATGCTAGTTTCCTCCCTTTTGCCTGTTTGTATTAGGTTTTTTGATATGTAGTGTGTTCTTATATAATTCTGAAAGAAACTTGTGATACCTAAAACAACAAAATTGTCAATAATAGCAAAAGTATACTATAGCACCCCAGAGTGACATGCTTCTTTGTCATGGCATCAGAGGCACTACTGAGAATGAGATGCCACTGCTCAGCTCTTCCTTGTGTTATCTGGGATAAGTTTCTCCCACTTTGTAATGATGCCAAAATGGTTATTTTATTGTATATTAACCATTAACTGATCCAACGTAGTGATTTACATTTTTACCTAGTGCACCAATCCGAACGTAAGTTTACGTTTTATTTTTCCTGGCTTCAAATTTGGCGCGATAGGCCTGAGCGGCCTAGACATGAGAGAATGGGTCTCTGCGTTGTGTGCGCTGTATGAAAGAAAATCGGGGACCCCGTAGTACTGCATGGTAGCACCAGTTACATTCAGCCCCATCTTAGGTCAACATCACGGCAAACACTCGTGATTCACCCACGCCTCTTCGTATTAACACTCTCTTATTCGAGGAAAGTGACATAGAACATGACAACAATGCGGCCACTAATGATCAAGGAATTCGTGAAAATATCGATGATAACCCAGATGACCCTCAGCCCATCACCTCTGGGGTAGCCAGTGTGGCCATGCCAGACCCCCAGTCAAGCACTTCTGGGATGGCCAGTGTGGCACACACAAGGACCCCCCCCATGGGCCAAGTAACTCTGTAGTGCAGTGTTACTACCCATAGTCAACCATGCAAGAGGAAACTATCATTTCCCCGCAGTTTCAGTTATAGTGAAAGTGACTATGAGATTGATTTTATGCCAATAGAGGATTTGTCTAGTGATAGGGATATTCATTATTCAATAGTGAAATATACTTTTAGGCATCGTCACAGTTTAGGCAGTGTGCCATATGCAATCTCCAAGGCTCGTGGGAGGTCACTGGTAGTGATAATGAAGGAGAATATGCAGGAATGTAGGTGGTGGTGGTGGCAAGTTCCATGGTGCCTGGGGCACAGTGGGTGGACAGACAAAGGACTGCATGGCACACCCTCAGCCATGTGCTGCCTCCACTTCTGTCCCTCCTCCTGCTCCCCCATGCCCTATGCCACAGATCCACCCAGCACCATGTGACCATGAGTGGAACTGCACAAAGTATGTTTGTGCCACAGCCTTTTGATTTTGATGCGAGTGGCAGTGACATTGTGATGTAGTGCTTGTGAAGTCACTAAGGGAGACCTAACTCCAGTAAATTGTCACACACCTTGCCTTGGCAAATAGCCATCAGACTTGCCTCTTGGCTCAAGTCAGGTCTTTTGTTCTTGAAATGGTGTCAGGTCATAACACGTGGTCTTGCCGCCCTTATGTGAAAGGGGGGTGCTTTAAGCGGACCATAATTTTAAAAAGTCAAGGAAACAGCTAGGAGAGAGGAGAGGAGAGGTTGGTGACTTGGTAGCATTGAGCAGGAGCCCTGGAACAGCCGTTTGTGTATAGTGCGACCCGCATTTGTGAATCTGGGTCAGCTGGTCGGTGAATTAGAGTACAAGTCCGTGTTATGATAACATTCCCTTCCCCTGGTATAAGTCTCATAGGGTCAATTGTTTATTATGTATTTTCCGTTCAGGAAGTGTTATATTCTCGCTCTATGTTATTAAGTAAACTATGTATAACCATAGTTTCCATTTTTATTTGTATCTTCTTATGCTATTCCCTATTCTGTTAAGCACTGGAATAATACAGGAGACAGGCTCACTTGCTAGGATACCTCAGGCAGAGTGGGTAAAGGTCTCTCAGCTTCCTTCCAGAATGTCCCATAACGAATGAGTCTGCAGAATTGGATTTTTTCCAGTTATACTTTGACAAGCCTCTAATGAACTTGATAGTGACCCAGACGAACAGTTATTACCGCTATATCATGGACAACGCAAAGGTTGCAGAATCATCACGGCTGCATGGGTGGAAAGCTACAACTGTGCCTGAAATGTATTTATTCCTTGCCACTGTCATGCTTATGCCACATACAGATATAAGAAAAATATAGCACATTACTGGTCTACAGACTACTTCATCAGTACTCCTGTCTTCCATGACCTCCTTCCCTGCAACAGATATTCACTGTTGCTACGAATGTTGCACTTCTCAGACAGGAATAGGCCCAACAGAAATCACCTTCTATACAAAATCCAGGAAATGTTTATGTATATGAAGCATAAATTCAGTGCATACTTTTACACCTTCAAGAACATTGTTGTCGACGAGTCCTTGATTCTGTTCAAGGGACGCGCCTGTTAATCAAGCAACTTTTTGTTGTGTGACTGTGAGAGTGGTCTTGTGTTGAACGTCATTGTCTACACCTGGAGAAACACACACGATGATGACAGATGGATATTGGGCATTTCTGGTGATGTTCGCAAGATGGAACCATACCTTGGCAAGGGTCATACACAGACAACTGCTATACAAGCCCTATGCTCGCTGATTTCCTGCATGTGAATAATACTGATATACAGTGAACCCTCGTTTTTCGTAAGCATCAGAAGTCATAATTCTCGAAAATCATAACGTTTTTTCGCAAGAATATTGACTCGAATTGTCGTTTGACTCGCAAATAGTTGTTTGTCCCAGAAGCATATGTACGGCCCCGAGTGGCCCCACACTCCATTCACAGCCAGTGTGCCATTGTTTATCAGGAGTGGAGATGATACCACTCATGTACATACATTTCATAATATTCCATTCGTTTTAGTGCTTGCAACTGCTAAATAAGCCACCATGGCTCCA